GCATCATATGTGTCTCCCCCAGGGAGAGAACTCTTAGAAGCTTGTGCCTGGTCTCTCCTGGATTTCACCCTATGTGCTTTACCCTTTGCTAACTGAGCTTTGTTCCCTTTCACTGCAATAAGTCACAGCCATGAGAACAACTATTTGCTGAGTCTTGTGAGCCCTCCCAGTGAATTATCAAACCTGGGGTGGTCTTGGGGACCCCTGACATACATGCCCAGGAGAAATTTGTTGGGTCATACAGAATGCATATAGGAAAGTTCACCAAGTCCTGTTCTGCCACCTCTTCCTTCCTCTCCCTCTTTCTCCTTCTCGTCTGTCTCTCCAGCCTCTTACCTATGACATTCTTTGCTCTCTGTTCATATATCAACTCAGTAAATCATTTGTAATTGACTTCTTTGTGTCAGTGTCTCTGCCCTTACTCTGCCTAGAATGCCATTCTCTCCTTTCACTCGCCTTGCTGACCACTTCTTCAAAATTAGGTTCGCTATTCACTTTCAGAAATTCCTGCCACCTTGAGGCAATTTCTAGGGAGCTAGTAGGATGTCACTTCTGAAGTGGAAGACAAGTTGTAGCACGTCGTACCACCTATATCATCAAGAAGAGGCACAATGCTTGGTGGCATTTTGGAATTTAGAAGCAACATAGCTGCCATAGCCAGCTGCTTTGACCCAATTGCCAAGTAATCCGGAGGCAGCCAGCTCTGAGGGGGCCCAGAGCAAGAGATCGCTCTGCTGTGGTCAAGCTTCAGTACAAGCCTCTCTGCCACTTAGGTTGATGGTTCTCAAAAAGTCTCTGACAAATTGGGATGCTTTGTAAAACTCCCGACAAGCCCAAATAAGAGTCACACAGATGCTCAGGATTTGAGGCAAGTTGTGTCTTCTTCTGCTGCAAAGTATTCTCCTAGCTTCCTACTGGATTCCTGATCATGGAACATCTTCAAAATTTGGTTCACCACTTTTAGAAATCTTTCCATAGGTATCTATACTCTCTGGTCTCAAGTTTCTTGGACTGAATTTGTGTTTTTTTTTAAACTGGACTTGTAGCCATTTGCTTTGCTAAGTGATCCACCCGTGCTGACTTTGTCTCCCAACTAGCTGTGCGATATCGAGCAAGTTAATCAATCTGTTGAAAAATGAGAATAACACTACCTTGCAGTGTTGGCTTGAAATAAAGTGTGCAAAGGGCTTAGCACAGGGGGGCCAAAAACTGGTAGTGTTTATTATTGTTAAAAATAG